ATCCAACTCGCATATTTGACAGATCTGATAATTCCTCCGAAATTGATTGATGAAAAGTTTTGACAGCGAACATTTCCACCTGACTACCTTGTAGGTCTTAATTTTCAAAATGCCAATCCATAGTAGTTATGATACCATAGTACTCGAAACTACGTACGCCTAACCGGTTCGTCAACTACAATGAGATATACATGATTACACTCGGTGCAACTGGTCCCCCTCCCCTCCCACCCCCGTCCTTCCTCCCTCCCACCGATCCCCACCCTTCACCCGTAATGAAGAATTTCTTTCTCCTCGTTACCCGACCCTCGAGCGTGGGCGTGAAAACGGAAGCAGGCAAATGGAACGGGCACGCTACCGTAATAAATCGCAGGGCTTTTCACGGCCGGATGGAGTATGAGATAACACTCGTACATTTCGTCTTATTTATTTTTGACTCTTGCTCATTTCGCAATAAAGTTTCCGATGTTAAGCCAATGCATATCTTCATATTTTCCATATAATAACCATCTAAGAGACTTTCGATGCATTTCCATTTATAAAATTGTTCGCTCTCCTTCCATCTACATTATATTCCGTATCCCATTGTTTCGATGGCTAAATATCACTCAACATCCCTTCAGTTTATCCTCATTAAAAAATAATTTAATCAGCGATTCACTTATACTCTTAGATACTGTGAAAGACTGTTAACAAAACAATATATTTCCTATTTCGCAATGTCTGTTTTAAATCCAAGTAATATTCAATTTCAGCACAAATATAATGAAAATATGACGTTATTATTCATCGAGTTGTTAACCGAGTTTTTCTTCATATTATCTTGACAATCGCGAGTAAAAGAAACGTAACCGTTGCAATGAAAATTTTCATTAAAAGCACCACACGCGTATCATTATTTATGCTTGTCATACTTATTTTTCCATCAATATGCTCAAATATTACATAGCAATTTATCTACATACATTAATATTACATACATTAGATGACCCAATTTGGCTCGAGTCTTAAAAAAGAAAGCAAACAATGGACTTTCACTTGGGCTTTGACTGTAATAGAAAAAGTATAGAGGAAGTATAAGTTTGATACCGCGAGAGTACTAACCTATTAACGGTCGAATGGCTATTTCTAAGAATTTTTTAAATTTGTACTTGTACAGATATTAGGGATAATAGTGGGTGAACAATTTGGATTCGAGTGACTGTGTGGTGACTGTGTGATGCTTCGTCACAATAACGACGTCTCGCTTGACTCGTACAGAATAGATGGCTCGTAAGCGCAATCAGCCTGTCGGCTGCGTAATTTTACGTCGAGACAGCTGATTGAATCGATCGTTGAAAGAGTGCAAAACAAAAAGTGAACTGAATTGCGAAGTTAAATGAACCTAAGATCGCGTGAAGGAAGTTATAAATACGAGGACTTAAATTCATTGTAAAAATTGACATAGCATTTTAACTGCTATATTATATATATTATAGAATGGGGTTATAAAATGAGTATTACGTTAGCAGAAATATGCTCTTTAATCATTAAGAGACAAGTATGTCGGAGCTTTTGAACGAGAGAGAGAGAGAGAGAGAGAGAGAGAGAGTTAGAACTCATTTTATCGATGATCACGCTTACACAATGTAGTACACGGAATGACCTGACAATAAGTCGTATTAAGTCAGCCCACGTAATGTCTATCTGTATGCTTATGTTAAGCATAAAAAAAAAAAAAAAAAAAAAAAAAAAAAAAATCTCTTCGAGCCACGGAGAAAGTTGAGTAAAAAGCGTAATTATCAATGATTGAATAACATCAATAGAGTATTCAAATACAGAGAATATAATGAGCGTGACAAAATAAGACGCCCGTGAAAAATATCTTATCTACTTTCACCTAAGCTCTCTAATCATTTTCCAATGATTACGTCGACTGTTTTACAATTGTCGATAAATACGGATAAATACGAGCTCGTCGTACGTCATTACGAGTAAAACGGCCGGGGAATAAAATCGGCAAGCCGCGTCGATTCGCTATAGCTGTTAGAAGGAACGAGAAGCAATCAATGCCATGACTCGCGCGATATGCTTTTCGCCAATAAAAGCGGAGACCGAATGGCGAGCGAACGTCTTGGCAAGCCAGGACCAAGAGGAGTGAAGAAAGAAATCCGCGTAATTCCGAGGACGTGGAGTGCAGCGCGTGGATGCGCGATAGACAAAACTGAAGTCGGCAGTCCCGGTGAGGGGGTGGATTATCGTAATCCACCGATGTCGACGACTCGTTTGGGGTTTCGTTATCGCGTGCAATTTTTATGCTCGAGTCTATGTCTGGAGGCTGCGAAGCGGGCCAGTCCGCACCATTGGACGACTCGCTGCCCGCTCGGGTCCAGCCGATCTTAACGAGCCTGGGCCGATTCTCACGCAAAAGCGGCTTCGCGTTTTGATAAGACTTTTCAATCGCTTTCGAATAAATGGCAAGTGCGCGCGCATTGCTGCGGGTGCGGACGAACGGGTTAGGAAAGCAGCAGCCCGTGCCTCTGAATGCTAATGCACGAATGCTAATTTCCTTGCCTATAACGAGCAAATTGATCGGCCTTCTTGGAATTCGGATCAATTTCCCGATTCGCTTTTAAAAGTCTTCGAACGCCGAGTCTATCTGCGTTTAAGTTGATTTTTTCTCCAAAAAAAAAAAAAAAAAAAAAAAAAAAAAAAAAAATATATATATATATATATATATTAAAAAAACACTCGTCGGCTTATATCACTTGGATTAGGACTTACCGGTCAATGCTCTTGATAGACATTTGGGGGCATTTCGGCAATCGTCGACGATAAGCTGAAATAATTATGTATTGATTTTAGTTTAATTAGCCATCGAATAAATAAAGACTCTACGATTAAATTACAGGCTATTTTAGTTTTATGGGATATTTTACACTTTTAATGCATTGATTTAATGCACTATTTATTAAATGGTCGCCGGTGAATGTTCGTTTTGCAATCTCAATGGATAATGCGTTTCGAATAACGATCGTTAATTATTTAATATTAATGTCACCCACCGTTCGCCATTCTCTCCCGTAAGGAAGTTGCTTATAAACTTTCTAGTACTGTCATCTTGTTCTTCGCAAGCATTTGCTTATTTGAACTATTTTTCATAGAAAGTGTTGTAGAGGCCAACGACTAAGTGATACCATTCGCAATCCATCTCGTATACGTATAATTAATTTTATGAAAAGAATATGTAAATCTTGAACAACATTGAACCGCTACGGTTGAATTTTGCGAGGACGGATAAAGAGACAGTACTTTCCATTTATTATAATGTAATCTTTAAAGTATCGAACTGCATTTTTCATGCGCACGGGGAGCGAATTTTCTTGCGTATCGGTAATCCCATCAACCATCGAAGCTTCAATTCCTATAATTACAGCAATAATTTTACCGGGCGTCTTGCAATTTTCACGCCACGTATATTTCATATCCAACGAGATCCGAGCGAATAAACGTCGATTTTGTGCCTCTGTGAATCCAAACTAATTGCGACATCAGTTTTTTTGCTCTACACTTGAACGTTACACTTTCTAGATAACTGTTTAGATTTTCAGTGGGAGGTTTTTCTAAATTATGCCATTAACTATTATCATTATGAAAAATCGAAATTTCGAGCTACTTAGGCGTGCTTCCTTGTTTGGCTCGCTAGGCTGTGCGGTCGAGTACAAATACTTATTTACTTGTACTTTATAACTAATGTTCAAAACTGTTTAATCAATGTTTTACTATTGTCGAGTCGTGTGTAAAAATATCTGTAAATTTGTAATTATTTTTAAACGGATTGTGTCGCATACAATTGTTATTCGCAATGGGAAAATAAAATAATGGTAATACGTAACGTAAAAACACGATTCTTATGTTACTGGGATATTATTATGGGACATAAATCTAAGAGATAATTAAATATAATTTTCTCTTCATTTTTTAAGCTTTTATAATGATGATGGTGATGATTATTATTATTGTTGCTATTATTATTATAATTGCTATTATTATTATTATTATTATTATTATTATTATTGTTGTTGTTGTTGTTGTTGTTGTTATTATTATTATTATTATTATCATTATTATCATTATTAT